GTTATTCTTACGATCAAATGACCGTTATTTATACCATTCCCTTCTGTGAGCTTTTCCATCCCAGCTGCTTCTCTCCTGTCGTGCTTCTAAGCACAGCGCACCACCTTCTTTATTGTAGGTAAACCTCCTAAAATATTTATAATGGACTGCTTTGTTCAACACGCCCCTTCATACCGTCTGACAGGTAAATATATCAAGTCTTCCCGCTCGGCATGCTTATTCCTGCACAATTACTGTTTAACATTTCTTCCGTACCCGTCACTATAAATCGGTGAATATCTTTGGATCTTGATTTATGCCACGAGCCTTTTTATGTACACGATTGCCTGCCAGGTGAGTACCTGTCTCGTTTTTACGATCGAGGCAGCGATGCAATGTGTAGCATTGAATCAGCAAGCGAACCATGTGTTAGTAGCAGTTGTTCGTTCATGCATCTTCTCTTCTCATTCCTTGTTTATGGTACTGTTCCGTGTACCGTTAATGCGCTGTACTTGTTATTCATGCATCTTCTCTTCTATTTCTTTACTGCCGCACACCGGTCTTAATGCCAGTTCTGAATGTCCTATGGCCCGATACAAAGCAACGCCCGTTATAAATGCGCACCGATGACGCATAAACAGTTTTAAAAAATGAACAATCCATAAGCGTTTAATACTTTTATTTTCATCATGCTGCCAAGGGCACCTCTTTATTAGCCATTATCATTTGGGAGTTCCTCATCTCAAGTCCTTCTCTCAACGAGGTGCCCTTCTTCTTTTTCTTGGAGCCGCTCTCTTCTTCTCCATCTTTCTCTTCCTTAGACTGTTTATCACTGCCTGGTGCGAAATTAGACTCTGCCTTGAATCCGCCCAGGTCCTTCAGCTCCGTTCCTTTCTTGGACTCGCCGCCAACGTATGCGTTATAAATGAAATATGCAACGATACCCAGGACTACGAGCCCTGCCACAATGAACAGAAGTACAAGTATAACCTTGAGGAACGATGTTCCTGAGCTTTGTTGCTGTTCTTCTTCATCGTCATGTTTTGATGCTTCGGGATGTTCTGACATGTAATTTTTATTTCTTCGTGCTTTTATAGTTTTTTCAGTGTGTGATTGTTCCAATTATGATTGGAAAGATGAAACGGTCAGAGGATGAAACGGTGTGTATGAGGATGAAACGGGACTGTGCGATGGATGGTGTTTGATGGGGCAGTGATGCGGATTGGAGGTGTATCTGATAATTGCTTGGTGTGCGCGGCATGGCACCGAGAAATGGAGGGGATGGGACATCGCGGGAGCATGATAATTTAATGTTCGGTTTAATCATGGTTTAGTACTGGTGTGGGTGAAGTATTGGACACCCTTGCATAAAAGCCCGTACAACAGCAAAATTAACAATTTTTAACGATGAACTGGTGAGCGGTGCTACAACACGTAGGGTATGGCGTAGCGAAGGGCGGTCCTTTGATGCCGTGCATACAGCACTGCATTGATTACGCTATGTGCTGCAATCAGTGCTACAGATGATGAGGATCGGTTAAGAATCACTGAGCAAGAGGAAACAATTCTAGCATTGTTTACGCTACCACATTGCTGCATAATGAATGAAAGGCCTTTTGTGTGAAACATTTCATGATCAGAAGTGTTTAATTAGCGAAACTGTTTGAAAGGACAGAAACGGCGTGGGAAGGTATGATGAACAAAAGTGGAGGGAGAATAACGATGTGTGGTAAATGCGCAAAACATGAAAGCAACGGAACACAGACCGAAAAGAATAAACATAAACCGTAAAAGATCATCAACTTCATCTGAGTAAGCCGATCCAAAACAAAAAGCATTCTACCACGTTCTTTATCAAATGTGCACCGCTTTTCTATCACCCCAGTTCATTCTCATTCTGCTCTACCATTGCCCTTTCCTTTCCCCTCCTGTCCCTCCTCAAACAGCTCAACCTACCTTTCAAATAAACAACCTTGTTGTACTCCAAGGAGTACTCCTTGAGGTACTTCACCACGTCCTGTACCACACCCTTGTATGTCCTGTCGTACAGCAATTCCCTGCTGCTGCGCAGCAATAGAACGACAAGATCGAGCAGTTCCACAACAATGCCTTTCTTCACCGTGCTAAAAAGAAAAAGCAGTAAATCAACCTTGCACTGCCTGGACAGATCGGTCAATTCCCCTATTTTGGACTGCTCATCCAAATACGTAAAATTGATCAAAAATCGTACGTTCTTGGTGTACACCGCCTGTGTTAATGCACCGTGCGTTACACGAACGGTGCTGATCATCGCCTCATTTCCGTTGTGCTTATCACTGTCTTCTGTGTCAGGGTTGCTCTCCGTATGGTTTGCATCACCGATCATCATTTCATGCTTTATCGCACGTCTTCCATTTTTTGATGACGTATTTTCTTTTTCAGTGTTGTGCCCGCTTTCCCTCTTCCTTTTCATCTCGTTTACTTTCTTCTCCGTGCTTTTTCTTTTGCTACCGTTTCTCGCTTCAGTATTCTTCTCAACCGATACGTCCTCGTCATGCTCATCCTTCCCTTTCCTGCCATTTTCCGTTTCATTTGTCTCCCTCCCCCGTTTCTTCTCCTTTTGCTCTTTAATTCTGTTCATGCCCCTTCTCCATTTTTTTTTCTTATGAAGCTCAACAAAATGAACGTGCGCTTCCTCAAAGAGGTAAAGAACCTCAAAAACAGCATGCCAGCCCATTTCAAGTTGGTCACACACAACAACACAACACTAATCCTTGATGTGTACGGTGCACCCAGCACGATCTATTCCGGTGAAATATTTACCCTCAAGATAGAAATCAATGATAACTATCCGATCGATCCGCCAACGGCAGTGTTCATCAAGAATATACCGGAGAATGAGCATGTTTATACCAATGGACACATTTGTATATCGGTACTGCATGATGACTGGTCACCTGCAATGACACTTGAGATGGTAGTTATTGCTATTTTGAGCATGCTGAGTGATGCCAAGAAGAAGAGCAAGCCGCCCGATAATTATTTTTACACGGTGTTTAAGAGGAACAAGTCACCACGCGATACGAAATGGGTGTACCATAAGTAGAAGGTATGGGTTTGATATTTGTACAGTGGGGTAGAACCAGGCTGGTGTAGCGTGCATGATGTAATATTTGTGGAGCGTGTAGTGCTAATACAGTACGACACGTCGGCACTAACCCCCTTCATACCGCGTTAATGCACGTATTATATTAAATAGTTCTTTAATCACATTTTTATATTTTACTGTACCCCTAGCAGCGGTGCATTATTTATTATATTGGTGCTATATTACAATCCTACCGTTCTAATAATATTTGTACTGTCAGTACTTCTGCCATTTCTGCAACCCCTCTATTGCAACCCCTCTATTACAACCCCTCTATTGCTATCTCTTCTTCCTCCTCCTCCTAATATTCTCCCTCTTCATGAACGTAGGCCGTACCACCCCATGCATCTTATAATACAGTCCACATGCATTGCAAACAAACCTGCCATTTAATCTCCTCCACAGCGATGTCTCCCTCGTATTGCAGTGTGCACACCAAGCATCCGCTTTCTTTCTGCTCATCTTCGTGCACTTCTTCATTCTTTTCTTCATCTCACGTGATACGTGCCCACGGTTTGATGATTGTACGGGTGATGGTCTTTTGTACAGGGTGTTAGTCATAGATGGAAAGGGCGTTTGTACGGAAGGGTGCCATGACATGGTGAGCATTTGCAGCGGTGTAAGGGCTGTGCTATTTCTATCAAAGTTAAAATTATTATCATTTCTATCAAAACTGAGATTGTTACCAGCTCTGCTAAAATTATTATCAAAGTTAAAATTGCTACCAATCCTATCATCAATCATGCCGCCATACTCATCGTATCCATGCGTATTAACGATGCAATCACCAATTGCACCGTTGACCATGCCATTGCTAGCCGTGCCACTCATCATACCGTACGTGTACGGCACCTGATGCGTATCATGAAGGGTAGCAGTGCTGTGCGAATTAACCTGATCATAGTTAATATTTAGGTTAGTGTTGGTAATGAGGTTAGGGTTAATGAGATTATTATTGGTGAAATTATCGTAAGCAATATTATTAATATTAACAGTACCTCTGCTATTTCTATTACCAATCTCATTATTATACGTACATATCATTACATCATCAATACCGCTCATCATCACACCATCACCCCGCTCTGTACCATTCCCTTCAACAACATGCACCCCGAACACCTGTCCACATATCTTATCCTCATCCCTACCACTCCCAAAATGCTTCTCATACCCGCTTGTAATATCGTTGTGCCCGTACATCCTCTCCATCCCGTGCTTGCATAATAAATGCTTTATGTTTCAGTGATCAAGGAATGTTATTGAGTGAAGGGATGGCTGTGGAGAAGGGAGTGTTTTATATTGGTGGAGGAGGGGAGGGTGTTTAGTATGGTGATTTAAAACTTATCAGGGTTAGAGTGGTGATGAGGATTTGAGGATGGTTAGAGGGTTAGGAGTGCATTGGTTAGAGGGTTAGGGAATGTTAGGGTTACCTCCGCATTACTTTGTTACTCCGCATTACTCCGCATTACTAACTCTGTCATAAAATGCTATCACCACCGTACTGGCATGTAAAACACGTATGATGCTCTTCAAATTGTTGCGAACGCTTTCTTTTCTTGATGCTTTTCTGCGCATGCTGCTGATATGGCTGTGATACGCAGTGCGCTATTCATGCATTATTCTTTATTCTATTTATGCATAATTACAAAAATTAAAATATTTAGCATTAAACATCGATATAGGCGCCTCAACGGTACCGCACGCTAAAACACCATATGGTACCATTCATGCGTACTTATCGTACCTTTTATGCCCAGCTGGACCAATGACCTATTTTATAACGGTAGCGCGTCATAGGACGTGTTCATTTGTTCTTCAACAGCGCGGTAGTACGTGTGTGGTAATGAACGGCGAGAAGTGGTGTACGTGTTATCAGGGAGGTGCTACGAGCAGGGTTGCTAGAAGAGATTGGTTAATACGCGGAGGCACAAGCATTTATAAACATTGCGGGTACTGCTCTGCTACGAGTACCGCATAAATAAAATTAAATAAAATTAAATAAAACTATTCAATGCATAAAAACAGCACATTTATTGAACACTCTCGTAATGCCCCTTCTTCTTAGGTATCCTCTTCCTTCTCCGCACCTTGTTCCCCTTCAAAGTCTCAGGCCGTCTAATCCCGTGTATCTTGTAGTACAGCCCACATGCATTGCACACCGTGTCACCGTGTAACTTACGCCACAGCGATGTGACCCTTGTGCCACAATGCGCACATTCCTGGTTCTTAAACTCACGCTTACCCTCGTACGAGTGATCACTCCCCTTCTCGTAGTAGTAGCTGTCGTACTCCTCCGTATTGGGGCACTCGTCCTTGTACGTGTACTCATCGGCATAGTTCGGGTAGTTCTCATTGGCGTACGTGTTGAATGAGTGGTACGCGTACTGCCTGTACGTATCGTACGGCACGGCGTACTCGTCGTACGCATACTCTGCCGGTACTGCACTGCCCTTTGCATCGTAGTACTGCTGCTCGTACCGGTCCTTTGCATCGTACTGAACCGGTAGATCGTACGGCTTGTACATGCTCTGGTAGTCCTCCCTGTTTTCGTACCTGTCACCGTTTGCATGTGCGTACTTCCTGCCGTACTCTTCAGCACCTGCCATACGCTCCACCGTATCAACATGGTTGGTACGGCCGGTATGATTCATGCGATTGATCAAACGGTCGTTCACGTGATCGGTCATGCCGTTCATACCGCCCATGTACAGCCCAACATCGTCAATACGCGCATACCGTACCTCCCTGTTCCGTACCTCCCTACCCATAAACACCAGCTCGCATTCACAGTCCACAAATCCAAAAACACTTCCAACCCTACACACCCCCCTAAACACACTTTCCCCATTTCCACATCCTAGCATCATCATGCTCCACATCCTCCACACCACGTTACTCTCCCTCTTCCTAACACAACGATCCGCATTCGCAAGTGCTATCCTCATGCATTTGTGTACGTTATATCTATCTTTATCATTGGATGTGCCATTAATGATATATGATTGAGTATCGTTCATGTTCTCTGCCTTTCTATGATTTTCTCTCTTTTTATACAAGATTATGATTGATATGAGCGGGCGATAAGAACAGTTAAGGAGAGCACTGTGATTTGTAGGGAATTTTACGTGACGTAGTACTTTGTTATTTTATACTTGTTATTAATTATTTGTTGGTTTGGTTTAGCATTAATTATTTAGTATTTGTTATTTGTTGGTTTGTAATAAGAAAAAGAAGAGTATTGAAATAAAGAAATAATAAAATAGTAAAATATTAGAATAGTAAAATATTAGAATATTAAAATAATTGAATATTAAAATATTAAAATATTAAAATAGTAAAATATTAAAATAATGGTACATCCCATGCCAATCTATCATTCTACTGCCACGGTAAACACAAAACACCGCAATCATCGTATCATACACCACCCGCTTTACCACAATGACCAATCATTCCCTACAACACCTGCTGATGCAATCAGTACGTCACTAAATATCACATTTTATGTGATTAGCTGCTGTACGTAAAAATGCTTCTTATTGCACAGCGTTCTTTTGATGCTCACGTATCACCTCATGACTTGCTTATCGTAAAAAAATAAAAAATTTTAAATCGAGGAGGAGAAGAATTGGTGACTTACAATGGGATTGTGATTTATTATAAAAGATTAGTACCGGTAATAAGGATTGGCATCAATAACTGCCGTGCTAATAAATTATAGTACTGAGTTTGTTACGGCACTGGCCTACTACTGCAGAGTGATGATTGCTCGTCATTGCTGCACGTTTTCGTATTCTTCGTTTTTTAAAATGAGCGTACGAGAGCCCTTCCCTTTTTGTGCCACAATTTCTGGAATTAAAAAACAGTTTTTCGCAAAAACACGTGTTACTCATGAAAGTGATGTTTCGCTTAAATGGCAATTAATAGTATAAAATTAGGAGTGATGCACCAATAAAGTAATAAACATAAATTTTAAAAGGTACTGGTAAAACACTCAATACCAAATATTGGAGCACCTATCAGATCATTCCTTTACAACGATCTCTTCGTACCGCACGATTACAACTAGAAAATAAGATTGATTGAGAGGAGTAGTGCACCGTAATGCCGTTGTTATTTTACGCATTTATTAACTGTTTTTTGCATATTTTGCGCACCCCAATTATTTTATGGTTCAACCACCCGTCAAATCCGTTCACTGCTATTTATTACCTACTCATACCGCACACCACAACCAAAACATCACAACCACGCACCAACACCAGCATTGCACTCCACGTCATTCTCCATACAAATAATTAATGGCGCTTTTTCTGATTTGTTCCTCCTACTTCCGATGACCTACCAGATCACGTACCAAAAAGGGGGCGCGTACAAAAGATGGCGTGCTGTGCACGCCATGCTCATAGAATCAATCCTAAAACGCACCATAAAGGTGCTCGAGCTGTCCCTCATAACAATAACAGCCCTGTACTACATCACAAACCTTTACATATGCACACGCACATACAGCGTGCTATCGCTGTATCTGCTCAGCGTATCGCTGTACTACTACATCAAAGCAATGCGCACGCACGAGTACATACCGCTCAACAAGCACGTACAAGGCGTATGCACGCTGTGCCATCAGCTCAGGTACAGCACCACCCACCACTGCATGCTGTGCGATCGGTGCTATGATGAACGCTCACACCACTGTGCATGGATCAGTGGCTGTGTGTACGGCGGTAATCGGAACGAATTCGTGTTTTTTGTGCTGTTCGCTGTTTTGCACGGTGTGTGCAATTTGAATGTGGTTACGTGCTTTGTGGTGTTGATGGGCTGCGGGTTTCTTGTGGTGTACTTTTTGAGAGGAAATGGGGTGTGTATGGACAGGATGAGGGTGGGCTACGTGCTGATGCCATGGTTGGAGAGGAGGGCTAAGGTGATTGATGAGTATTAGAGGGTGTGAAGGAATGGGAGATGAAGAAAAACAGGATTATAATAATATTATGGATTGGTATTGGAACTAGTATTAAGAGCGGAACAGTGTTGGTATATTACATGTGTAGGAGAAGGAATGTATACAAGACATTAAAGGAGCATGGTAAAAATTTATTATTATTGTTCTGGGAAAATGCTTTACTTATTGCTGACATAAAGGGCAGTAATAGCGATGCGGTACGAGGAGAGTGAAAACGGATTGGCACGATTTAACGTGCCAGGGAATGAGATGCAGGACGAGGGGCTAAAAATAATAAATACTGTTCATGCGTTGTATCGTGTTGGGCTAGGCAATTGCAAAATGATGACGAGTAGAGCAACGAGAAGATCGTTCTTAGTACAGAAAATAATGATTTGTGCCGTAAAATGTTTTTTGAAAATGATATTAAAATGATTGTGGATGTAAGCAGCACTAGATGGGGTGATTGGTTTTATTTTGTAGTATTTGTGGGGTGGAGGAGTGCGGATTGCACGCTTTTGGACATGGTAAACGTAGTAAATACGAATACAATTGCAAAAAGAACTACTATAGGAATAAATAATTTAATATGCTGCTCCGTACAGTATTTGAGCGTTTTCTACTACATTAACCGTTCTCCTCTTCCCTGGGCATTCTTTTCTTTACCTTATTAACACCAAACCGTCCATACCTGGGCAGGAAAGTGTCGTTCTTCTCGTCATACACCTCCCTACACTTCTTCTTCCTGATACCCCTCCGTTCCGCAAACAACTGCCATTTACTCTTTTGCTTCGATACCACGCAGTTCTTGAGCGGTAATACGGCTATCGGTGCAGGAAGAACCGCTAATTTGGTGTTCTCGTGCTTTTTGAGGGGTAGTTTGGATATGCGGACAAGTAGGGCGTTGATGTGTGCGGGGGTGGGCTGTTCATATTCTGTGTTGTATGCCTGGAGATAGTGCAAATCGTACTGCATTTTTTACTTGGGGCTAAAAAAATTTAAAATTCTTTTTTTCGCTGCGAGTTGTTTATTTCTCTTCGTGCGACAGCGCACGAAAATTTATTCGGATTTAGCAGGGATGTAGCAAAGTAAAATAAAGAAGTGATGAACGTATGATTTATCGTGATTTACAATTTTGGTGGTAAAAGAGTTAAATCTGGAATAGAGACGAAGACAGGCACAGTGTGTGATTGGTAGGAAGAGCATGCTGTGTTATCAGTTCTAGAACGCTGAAATTGCTATTGGGAAGGCCTGTGATGTGACATAAATTTAATTCATAATTTTTTAGGAAAACGATGAAAGTTTTATGTACGTGATCCATAACATGTATGGAGTTCTTTCATGAACAATGCTTTAACACGCGGCTGTCCATTCCTTGGCGGATCATCAAAGGACATTATCAGTTATAAACTTATTCCGCGTAATCAATTTTATTTTGCATACTAAACTTATTGGTGCATAAACAACAACCTACCGCTAAACCATACTATCTGTTAAATTTGTTTGTCCTCGTCTTTCGCGTGTTAAGTACAACCTTCCTGCCCTGTGCCCTTTTCCTGAGCAATTCTTCAGCTCGTTTCCTGTACTTCATCTTAGGATTGCTTCGCACTTTCTTAACCACTTCGTCGTCCACAACACGATCAATCTGTGCATTCAAGTTGCCACACAGCCTTTCATAAACAGCTTGCAACTCTGATGCCGTATCATTGATCACTTTGATCGCATCGTGCGTGCTTTTTAGTTTGCTAAGTGCAAGCATGGCGTGCAGTACGTCAAGCTTGCTCTGCTTAAGGGGATGGTTGCGTTGCTCCTCAAGCACTTGTATTTTGTGCAGGATCGTAATGTACGATGGGAATGATGGCTGTTGGGCGGTACTCATCTTCACGAAGGGGGGAGAGAAATGATGAACAAAAGGGGCAGAAATTTAAACGAGTGCGATGAAAATGTTCATGGCAGAGAAACGGTAAGGAGAAGTAGAACAGTTATGTAACATACCGAAACGTTAATTGCTAGAGTTGCCTGATTATTGAACAATACGCTGTGCTGCTATGTGTTTCCATCTTGACCCGCTGATGGTACTTCAATGATATCCCGGCGTGCACTGCGCAATCAGCACTCCCAAAATTTGTGATAGGCTTTTTTCTTTTGGTATCACGATGCTTCACCAATCCCCTTCACGACGGGTGCTTCCAAAATTGTCTGCAAGTCATTGCATCAAATCAGCTTTTTATGAGAAAATATATTCTATGGAGCTTGATGGTACAAATATTTAACATTCTTACATCTTTCTGTACTCTTTAAATAAATATTGAGACTAGCTATGTTATTAAGTAACTTAAATCTTATAATACAGAGAATTTTAGATCAATGTGAAGTATTTCATTGGATGTTCGTTCTTCTCAGATTTATCTTCATTTCTGTTTTGAAGTTCCTGAATTTACATATCCTTGATTCTTTTTAGCTTTGTTTCCAACAACATCGGAGTGTCTGGTGCCACCTACTCGTAACATGGTACCTTTCACATCATCCATATTGATTTGCTAACATAAAGATGG